CCGCCATCATCACTTTGCATCAAAATGGCCTCACATGCAAGTAAACAAGTAATATTCCTATTACTTGTTTCGCTTCTGTTTCAGTTTTTATAACCATTTCTTACTATGTGTAAGTAAGTTGTTGTTTTTTAGCATTTGTGTTTGGCAGTGTTATTTTTTAGGATTACTGATAAACTACTGTCGTTTGATTTGTATTATTTGTATTTGTTATTTATTTTAATTTTAGTTAAATTATGTCTGAATTTATTATGCCTGTATAGGTCTTTTTATTAAGTTTTAGTTTTATTTAATTTGAGTTATTTTAATACTTCAACAAACTAAATGGAAATGAAATAATATATATATTGAATTTATAAATGTGTATGTACATATACAGTATGTATGTGTGTGTGGTTGTACATACACATATGTAGTTGGTTTTTTGGTGTTTGGCTTAGTGTTATGTTAGAATCATTATTATACTCTTATACCTTTTGTTCTTTAATATTTTGAATTGTTTTTAGCTTTATTTTTTTTGTTTTTCATTTAAATGTTAAGTTTTTACATTTTGTTGTATGCATTTGTCACTTTTATTTAATCTCTTTATTTTTTAAATATATATAGGTAGTATTTATAAAGTTTTAGCTTTTAGTTTTGGATCTGTTTTAGTTGTTTTAATACTACAATTGATTGCTTCTGTTGTCCTCATTTGTAACTAGCTTTGGATAAAAGCGTCTAATAAATGACTAAATAAATAAATAAAAAACATTTTCCCTACACATTAACTCCTAAAAATAAAGGTTCTTTATTTGCAATCTGTGGTTCCATGAAGAACTGCTAACATGCAACCTTTAAATGTTCTTTACACTGAGAAAAAAAAAAAGGTGAAAAAATGTAATACATCAAAGTTGACATTTTTAATATAATATATATAAAAAAAAAAGTTTTAAAATGTGTTTTAGAATAAAAGTACTTTTTACAAGTATCAAAAATTATGTATTCAAATATTCAGTTTTTGAAGAGTGATTTTGCCATGTTATTCAAGTCATCTGATATTTTGAGATTGACCCTACTGACCTCACAGTCATGAGTGTTGACAGAGGTCCTCTCTATGATATTTCATTTTACATATTAATAATAGTTTTTATTAAAATACTTTATAAGAAATAATAATGATGCGAAACTACTTAAGCTTCTTGTGAATAACTTTTCTTCATTATGATATTGGAACAGTTGTGCCACCTTGACAGATTCTACATTATGCTCCCTTAAGAAATAGCTAAATTAATTTTAATTGAGAAATTAAAATGATTTTCATTATAGAAGAGGTGTATTTCATTGTGTGCTGTGTATTCTCTACCTGTTAGTCTCCACGTTAATGACTTTAATGCCCAGCATGGTGCCGTAAAGCACAAAGTGTCCGGTCTCGTCGAAGATGATGTTGGTCAGTCGGATGCCGTCCACCTTCTCCAGTTCTCGCTCCACCGCCATCCTGCGACCAAACTCCATATCAGGCAACTGCTGCCTCATCTGCTGGAGCTCCGTGAACATCTGCCATTGCATAGAGACGACAGATTACTTAAAAGTTCTTCCAAATGTGCATTTGTTAACCTTTGAATGTATGATTAATATAATTATAAAACACTAACTTACAGTTAATGATTCGTCAAACACCCTCATCAGCTTCCCAGTGAGGAAACGGAAAATCCTGACTTTGCGGTCAGTGGCGATGGTGGCCATTTTCTTGCCGTCTTGGGAGAACGCCAGGCTGGTGGGATACGTTCTGCATTTGGCAAACTCGTACAAGTCCGTGTCTGTCTTGAACTCCCACTCCACCTGCCGTGGAAATTTGAATTCGCTCGGGAGCCCCGTCCAGTATTCCAACATCCCCGTCTTATCAGCTGACACTATGACGCGATACTTGGGATTCAGGCGGATCCGAGACAGTGGCGCAGTGTGCATCTTTTCAAACGTGTGCAGGGGCTGATTACTGCCCCGTCCGTTGTATACAAAAATCTTCCCAGTCGATTTCTCAGAACAGGCTACGGTGGAGATGGCGTCTCCCGGATTATAGATCCATTCGCACTGGCCAGGATGGAAGCTGGAAAAAAAGAAACTTGCTTAATCCTCGGATTAAAAAATGTTACATTTTGAATTTTTTACATTTTTTGACTTCATCAGAATAGTACAAATCTTGGTGACTTTTGTGGCACTTGCTAAATCAGGGCTGTCCAAACTCGGTCCTGGAGGGCCGGTGTCCTGCAGAGTTTAGCTCCAACTTGCCTCAACACACCTGACTGGAAGTTTCTAGTATGCCTAGTAAGAGCTTGATTAGCTGGTTCAGGTGTGTTGATTAGGGTTGGAGCTAAACTCTGCAGGACACCGGCCCCGTTTAATTATATATATATATATATATATATATATATATATATATATATTCGTGGTGGGGTTGACAAAAACTACTGGCCTGACCAGGTATGCAATAAAAATAATATTCAGATTATTAATATAGACAACGATTCTGAGGTGGCAAGTTGGAGGGAACTTACTTGCTGCAAACTATGTGTGTTATAACATCCCTGTGCATGTAACTTCTTTCATACATGGAGGCAGAGGGTAAATTGTCCAGGTACAATCTTTCATACTCAAGAACTGCAGCAGAACACATATGATCCATTAATAAACGCATCTCAGTCTGAACCAAAGAGTAAAATGAAGTCATGTAGTTGCTATGAAGGCAGAAGACATGCGAGCTGAAACGGCTATCTAGTATAGGTTGTGTCTCAAAACTTTATTAACTAACAATCTAGGCATATTAAGCGACTCTAATGTCCACAAACGCTGTCTAGGATTCTAGGTAGGCAGCTCACTAGGTTTAGAGTCACAGATTCTTCCGGGTTTTTGCAACAAATAAAGTTAACGTACCTTTTTTCTTTTTTGTTTGTGTGGCCTCACTAGGCAGAGGCCCGACCCATCCACCTGCATCTGCATCTTCGTCTAGTTTGCGTTTATTTTCAGAACCATCGCGGCTCACGTCGGACGCCATTTTCAAATTAAAGTTTATATTTATTCTTCTTCTTCTTCTTGTTGCTTTACGGCGGATCGCAGACTTATAAGTGCATTACCGCCACCTATAGCTCAAATGGACCATTGACTCTCTATCTACGTGGATGGGGTTTCAGAGGGGAAAAAGCCTGGGGGGAAAAGCTGGTGATCAGTCTTGCAGAGCGGGCTCTGATGCGCCGGTACCATCTTCCTGATGGCAAGAGCTGGAAGAGATAATGGGAGGGATGGGTGGAGTTCTTCACGATACTGATGGCTTTACTGAAGCATCATGCAAGGAAAATGCCCAGAATGGAGGGGAGAGGGGCACCAATGATCTTTGCAGCTGTGTTCACTGTCTGCTGTAGGGTCTTGCGGTCAGCAGCACTGCAGTTCCCGTACCCGACAGTGATACAGTAGTTAGCACACTCTCAATGGTTCCCCTGTAGAATGTGGCGAGGATGGGTGGAGGTAGACTTGCGCTTTTAAGTCGGCGCAGGAAGTGGAGCCGCTGTTGCGCTTGGAGAGTGATGTAGTGTTGGTGGTCCAGGTGAGGTCTTCTGTTATGTGCACTCCAAGGAATTTTGTGCTGCTGACTCTCTCCACAGTTGAGCTATCGATGGTCAGTGGGGGGTGGTCAACAGAGTTCCTCATGAAGTCCATCACAACCTCCGTTGTCTTACTCGCATTGAGGGACAGGTTGTTTGCACTACACCGTTCAACCAGCTGTGCCACTTGCTCTCTGTAGGGTGTTTCATCATTGTTGCTGATGCGACCTTCCACAGTTGTGTCATCAGCAAACTTGATGATGTGGTTGGAGCTGAACTTGGCAGTGCAGTCGTGGGTCAGCAGCGTGAAGAGCAGCGGGCTGAGCACACAGCCCTGTGGGGCACCTGTGCTCAGTGTGGTATTGCTGGAGGTGTTGCGGCCGACACGAACTGACTGAGGTCTTCCAGTTAGAAAGTACAGGATCCAATTACAGAGGGAGGTGTTTAGGCCCAGCAGGTTTAGTTTGTTGATGAGTTGTTGTGGGATTATTGTATTAAATGCTGAGCTGAAGTCGATGAACAGCATTCTAACATGGGAGTCTTTATTTTCTAGGTGGGTAAGAGCTAGGTGGAGGGTGGAAGAAATTGCATCGTCCGTAGAGCGGTTTGGACAGTATGCAAACTGGAGCGGATCGAGTGTGTTGGGGAGGCTGGTTTTTATGTTGTGCATGACTAACCTCTCAAAGCACTTCATCATGACTGCTTTGAGCTATGGGAGGGTAGTCATTTAGACAGGACACAGGTGATTTCTTTGGTACCGGTATGATTGTTGTGGATTTGAGACATGTGGGGATGACTGCCTGGCTCAGCGAGGTGTTGAAGATATCTGTTAGGACATCTGTCAGCTGTGCAGCACAGTCTCTCAGTACACGGCCAGGTATGGTCTCAGGACCCGCAGCCTTACGTGGGTTAATCCTATATAGGGTCTTCCTTACATCGGCTGGAGACAGACAGAGAGCCTGGTCGTTGGAAGGTGTGGGCAGTTTTTGTGCAGGTATGCCATTCTGCATTTCAAACCGTGAATAAAAGTGGTTGAGTGCATCTGGGAGGGATGTGTCATCGTCACAGGCCTGTGGCGGGGGCTTGTAGTCAGTGATGGTCTGAATGGCTTGCCACAGGCTCCGTGTGTCTCTGCTGTCTGAGAAGTGATTATTGATTTTTTGTGTATATAACCATTTCGCATTCTTGATGCCACAGGACAGATTGGCTCTTGCTGTTTTGAGGGCTGCTCTATCTCCTGATCTGAATGCATCAACATCGGGTCTTTAGCAGCCCACGAACCTCTGCAGTCATCCATGGCTTCTGGTTTGCACATGTGGTGATGGTCTTGGTGACCGTCACATCATCAATGCACTTTTTGATATAAGCACTCACAGTTTTAGTGTATTCCTGCAGGTCTGTGTGGTTGTTGTAGGTGGCTGCCTCTTTAAACATGTTCCAGTCTTTGAACTTGAACTTGTTCCTTGAATTTTTGAACCGGTTTGGCGAGTTTCAGAAGCGGTCTGTATGCTGGGATTAGCATAACAGAGATGTGATTAGAGTACCCAAGGTGGGGGCGGGGTTCAGCCTTGTACGCGTTCTTCTCTGTTGTGTAAACCAAGTCCAGTGTGTTGTTTCCCCTTGTTGCAAAGTTCACATGTTGGTAGAACTTTGGCAAAACTGTCTTTAAGTTTGCGTGGTTGAAGTCACCGGCTATGATGAAAAAGCCGTCGGGGTTATTTGTTTGTTTTTCACTGATGGCGCTGTACAACTTGCGAAGCGCGTCCTTAGTGTTTGCACACAGGGGAATGTAAACTGTGCCAATAACAATGGCCGTGAGCTCCCGCGGCAGATAGAACGGTCGACACTTCACAAACATAAACTCCACCAGCGATGAACAGTGTTTTGTCACTACCACTGTTACACCATTCTTTGTTGACGTACACACACAAGCCACCCCCGCGAGTAGGGTTGCCACCCGTCCCTTAAAATACGAAATTGTCCCGTTTTTAAAGCGAAAATGATGCGTCCCGTATCAAATCAATACGGGACGCGATTTGTCCCGTATTTTACAAAGGCCAACACATAGTTGAATCAACAAACAAGTATTTTGCACCGTTTATAATACTAATAGCCAGGGTTTAAAGGGGTCATATGATGCGATTTCAAGTTTTCCTTTCTCTTTGGAGTGTTACAAGCTGTTTGTGAATAGATAATGTCTTGTATGTCTTGTATAAACAGGCTAAATACACACTGGAAAAGGAGATCAGAGTGGCAAAGAGGAATTATTCTGAAAAAATAAGGATTCAATTCTCTTCCAGTGATTCAGCATCAGTGTGGAAAAGTCTGAAAGAAATCACCAACTACAAGACACCATCCCCCAGCACTGTGGAGAATCAACAACTGGCAGACAATCTGAA